ATAGGTAGCATCATGATAAACGGAGAAAAGGTTGATGGTGTCAAGAATTTCATCTTGCTTGGCTCTATAATCAATGCTCATGGTACCAGCAGTCAAGGAATCAAATGACGCATTGCATTAGGGCAGTGGTTCTCAGCCTTCCTAATGCCGCGATCCTTTCAGACAGTTCCTCATGTGGTGGTGACCCCCCAACCATAACATTATTTTCGTTGCTACTTCATCACTGTCATTTTGCTGCTGTGATGAATCGGGCGACCCCCGTGAAAGGGGTGTTCGACCCACAAAAGGGTGGAGACCCACAGGTTGAGAACCGCTGGTCTACAGGACGTAGTGGTGGAGCGGGGGAAGCAGGCGCTTCAGAGTCAGAGTCCGGGGTTCAAATCCTGGTTTGGTGTGGACACTTAGGTGTAACTTTTGGTGAGTCCGTCATTTCCATGCTCTTTCATTCCCTCATGGATCAAGCAGGCGAGCAGTAGCTGTTTTCACAGGATGGACTCAGATGAACTGAGCAACACACACTTCTAGCCTGTAAAAGTGATGGTATCATACAGACTCATGAACATATGAAAATAACTGCCTGTGGGAGGATTTTACAAGCCAATCAAAGAATAGCTGCCGACACATACTACATCCTTCGAAAGTGTCAGGCCCCATGCTGAACGTATGCCATGCACTTAATCCTTATCGCAGCCTTGCCGACAGACCTGTCAACATGAGAGGGCCAGCCTAGGTCCTTGGGGCTCTGTCCTTTCTCCCCATACTCATTCCCTTGCTGAGCTCATCTTGGTTGTGCAAATACTGTCCACACCCTAGGGACTTCTCAACCCATGTCTCCAGCCCTGAATCTCTGTCACTCCTACCCCACCCAGCGGACCTTCTACTCACCCATTTCCCTAATGGGCATCTCAGATGGGGCAGGTCCCCAAACGAGGTCTTCATCTCCCTCCACCCTGCTCTTTCCCCGGTTCTTCCCATTCCTGGAAAATGACAGCTTCCTTCTGCCAGTCAGGCCAAACAGCTGGGAGGTCTTTTGGTGTGGGGGTAAGTTTTTAATCGCTTCATTGGGGGCAGGTACAGCTCTTATCACAATCCATACGTCCATCCATTGTGTCAAGCACATTGCCATCATCATTCTCAAAACATTTTCTTTCTACTTGAGCCCTTGGTATCAGCTCATTTTTTCCTTCCCTCCCCCACCCTCCCTCTCTCATGACCCCTTGATCATTTATAAATCCTTATTTTTTCTTTGGGTAAGCTTTTGATGGACGGCCCACAGACATTCAAAAAGCGCACGACCGACCGACCCATCAGTGGTCAGTGAAACATCACAAAGGGAGCACCCCATGTAGCCAGCACCAGGTCAGAAACAGGTTACCAGCCCCCCAAGGGTTCCCACGAACTGTCACTCTCCCCCTCCTCCCAAAGGAGGCCTTCATTCTGAAGTCTACCACCATAGATTAGCTTGGCCTGCTTTTTAGCTGTCTTGTATGGACTTGCACAACATAGATTCTATAAAGTCTGAGACATTATGCTTGAGACATTCAAGGAGGTGAGCTTACCGGAAGTGTGCTCATTTGCTCTACCGCTTAGGGCTTCACTTGACGAGTACACTGGACTTCATTCTTTCCACCCCGGTGGACACTTGGGGTGTCTAAATTTGGGGGCTATGTTTAATAATGCCACCGTGAGCATTCTCGGACATGCGTGGTTCCGTGTTTCTGTGGGAACTGGGATTGTGGGGTGAAAGGAGATGCATGGTTTTAGTTATTTTACGCTGCATAACACAAACACACCTGAAGGGCTTTGAGGACCAGAAACTCATTTTCTCCCAGGCCTGGCAGCTAAAAGTTCAAGCCAAGGTCTCGGTCGGGTCATAAGGTCCTGGCGCCCCCCAGCAACCCTCGACATTCCTTTGCTTATAGATTCTCCTTCGATGGCTTCTAGCTTCCCCTGGTCTGTCCACTGTGTCAACTGTACCTTTTATTGATTTATTTTTATTTCTTATTGTGATTCCATGGAGGACCCACCTCCCCTGGAAGACACTAAAGCATGGCAAAAGGCAGCCTGTTTTCAGGAGTGCAGGTCAGACTCTGCTATGTACGAGGGAGCTTCAAAAAGCCCTTGGGAAAAGAGAATGGAACGATCATGGAAAATTTCCACACACTTTTTGAAGCTCCCTTGTGTATTGGGGACCCAAATTCAATCTCCAACATATGGTGTTCAGCTTTCGTAGATTCTGCCAAACAGGTGTTCCCAGGGGTCGTAAGGACCCACATTTCCAGAGCAGTGCAGGAGGATCCAGGTGTACGACCTCCTCACCGACCCTTGACGGTTGTCGCTGTTTCACAGGTCCGGGTATTCTCAAGGGGTGTGTGCTATCTCTTAACTCGCAATTCCCTGACGGTTAGGGTGTTTATGTTGCCGTTTGTTCCTTTTCTTTTATAACTAGCACCTCCCTTCCTTCAGGGCCAAATAAATCGTTCCCAACCTCAGGATCCTTTGTCTACAAACTCCAGCATGTCCAGGGTGCACCTCTCCAGCTAATTCTGGTATGGACAGTGAGCTTCAGGCCCTCACACATACACCTGGGTGTTGCTGCGCCATTTGTTCTGTCCCATGAATTGCCTTGGCGCCTAGAATGACCCTTTCAGATGCCTCAGACCATGGCCTCCTCAGCTCGCAGAGGAAAAGACTGAGCATAGGGTCTTTTTTACCATGTCTTGTTTTATTATGTTTGTTTGTTTTAAAAGAAATAATTTTATTAGGGGCTCATACAACTCTTTATCACAATCCATACATACATCAATTGTGTAAAGCACATTTGTACATTCATTGCCCTCATTCTCAAAACATTTGCTCTCCACTTAAGCCCCTGGCATCAGGTAATTTTTTCCCCTCCCTCTCGAGCCCTTGATAATTTATAAATTATTATTTTGTCATATCTTTCCCTGTCCGACATCTTCCTTCACCCATTTTTCTGTTGTCCATCCCCCAGGGAAGCGGTCACATGTAGATCCTTGTAATTGGTTCCCCGCATAGGGTCTATCTTATATGGAGCCTGGTGGCGTAAGTGTGTGACTGCTGGCAGGCTGGTGGTTTGAACCCACCCAATGGCTCTGCCAGAGAGACCTGGGAATCCAGGTCAGTGAAGATCACAGCCAAGCCAACCCTCCAGGGCAATTCTGCCTGCACTGGTGCCCGGGGGGTTGGCATCGACCTGACAGCACACACAATTCTAGGTCACGGGTTCCCAAACTGGCTTGGCTTCTCCCTGCCTCTCAGAGAACACACAGCAACTCAGTGTCCTCCGGGCAACTGCAAAGGTTTGTTCTACGGCCCATCATCCAGGATGAAGTACTTGCTTTTGGTGCTCCCCCTGGATCGTCCCAGCATTCCAGAGGGGTGCTATTGCCCACCTGAGTGAACACTGTTTTAGATGCTCTGGAAACATCTCCAACCTGACCTCCCCTGCACTCAACGCAGGGCCTTCCAAGCACACTGGCCTCTGTTGTTCTTTGATCCTGTCAGGCACAGCCCAGCCAGGGGGTCTTCATGCAATGCCTCTCCCTCAGATCGGCTCACTCCTTTGCTTTCTTTAGTGCTACCTCCTTTGGGTACGCTCCCCACTGCCTGCAGTTCTTATTGCAGCATCAGACAATGCCTGGCCTCTAGCAGGCATTTGGTACATTTATAAAATGCCTAAGAACTGGGGGGTTGGGGGGGGAGGTTGGCCCAGAGAGATCACATGGCAGCCCCCGAGTCCCGAGGTGTCAGCTCCACAGAGCGGTGGTGCTCAGAGCTGGCACAGAGGGGCGGGTGGTGCCTCTGCTGGGAAGCTAGCCAGCGATCCCCTCCACCTTTGGCCTGCAGTGACAGCAGGTTTTCCAAGGCTCAGGTCTGGCCTTGGCACTGTGGCTGACAGCAGTGCTGGCCTGCTGTGGAGGAAGCCCCGGTGGCACAGTGGTCACAGCGCGTCGGCTACTGCCTGAAAGGTCAGTGGTTTGAACTCGCCACTTGTTCCCTAAAAGAGCGGCAGTCTGATTCTGTAAAGTTATCTAGCTTTGGAGACACTCTGGGGGAGGCTCTACGCTGTACTATCTTTTTGGTAAGCTGCCACGCCTGGACAGCAAGGAGTGGTGCGGTGAGGCATGGCCAGTGTGCCAACACCACCCTCCTGTGGCTAGTGTGGGGAAGAACAGGCAGCAGTCGGGCCTGAAGCTGAGTGGTGCACGTGTGGTCTCTTGTAGTCAGTCTCTGCTCTCACAAAAGACATAATGCAAGAGTGGGCCTAAGAGATCTTTATTATACCAGAAGAGACAGGCAGTGGGGCAGTGCAGTATCCAAGCCCCAGAGCAGACATGCAGCATCCACATGCAGGAAGGGCTACACAGGCCGAGGACCGGAGGACACTGACAACACCCCTGCAGGGATTCCAGGGCCCTGGGCTCTTCTCTCTCCACTGGAGCAAGGAGACAGGGGACTGGCAGCTTCCCCATTGCTCAAGCTGACTGCTTGGTTGGAAAGAAAGACTGCCCAGGGGCTATGGGGCTGGGTCAGCCTGCAGCACACAAGCTTGCCCGCTGGATGGGCCTGGGCCCCAGGGCAATGCAGTCCTAACCAGAGGCCCAGAAGCGGGGCCACTTACTTTCCTGACCCACTGGTCTAGATCCTCATCTCAGAAAGGCTCAGCCGAGATTGGGAATAAACCTCTTCCCACCTAGCAGGGACGTGCCCGTGAAGGAGGCTTCCCTGAGCACAAGCAGGGGCTTCCTAAGGCAACAGTAAACCCAGGGAGCTGCTAGAGGCAGGCCTGGCCTCTGGCCCCAGTGATGGGCTATGAGATCGGGCCTGGGGCTGGGGGAAGGACAAATGAAAGGCCAAGGGTCCTGCGCCTGGAAGGCCTAAAGGGACAGGGGGTGAGGCCTGGGCTTCCCTAGGAGCAGGGCTTTGAGTTGGGAAGGCCAGGCCAGGAACAAGGAGAGTGGCCGTCCTACCCAGAATCCCTGCACCCATGCTGAGCTGTGGTCAGGATCACAGGGCGGAAGTTCAAGGCACCAGGATTCCGAGGAGCAGCAGCCCCCCGCCCCCCACCCCGAGCAGACGATGACTATGAGAAACATCTTCAGCTTAAATGATGTGTGGAGGGGGGCAGGAGGGAAGGGAGGAGGAGAGAAAAAGACAGACAGAAGAAGAGAAACACAGGGGCACGTGGGTGAGTGTGGCAGTGAATGTTGAGTAATCTGGGGCTGGGGGCAGGAAGAGGAAACAGACAGAGATGGCCTGAACACGCAGCACTTCTGGTTCCTACAAAATAAGGCACCAGAGTCAGTACGTTCCTATTGTCCCTGTGGTGTCAATTAAACCAGGTGCTGGAGGGAGGGGCGGGCAGTTGCCGCCAGGCAAGGGCCTGCTGGGTCTCACATCTGCACACCGGTGGCTTTCTTGACCAGGGGTATCTGCAAGGATGGGAGATCCCAGTGAGGTCTTGGCTCTGGACTCCAGGCCCATCCTGCCGGGGTGAGTCCCCCGGGCGACCCCGGCCAGCCCTTCACCCCAAAGTACTTACCTTTGAGAGGTCCACTCCTGTGAGGGCGTGCACAGAGGCGGGCAGTTCGGCCAGCAGCCGGGTCACTTCTGAGGTGACCTTGCTGTTGTCTCCACTGAGGACCACAATCTCATCAACTTTGGTCAGTGGGGAGGCGATTTTGGCGGCAATCTAGAAAGCAGGCAGGAGGAGAGCTTGGTTAGCTCTGACTCCCACCAGGGGCAGGTCAAACATCTCTCCCTCCCTTCTCCATCTCACCAGACCCCAAAGCAGCCTGGGCTGGTCTTTATTGGCAAGCCCGGGTACCAAGGAAGAGGCAGACAGGCACGCCCCCAGGGGGCCGGGGATGAGCCTCTGGCAGCTGTCCAGCTCTCGCCCCTGGCTAAGGACGCTGCTAACCAGTGTGCGGAACAAGAGCGCAGGCCCAGCTCCGAGAGCTAGGACAGGTGGGGCCCAGCCTGGCGGCCTCCCCGATGGATCCCACCAATTGGATCCCAGCCCAGGCCCTCACCTGAGGCAGGGTCTCCAGTACCAAGGCCATCTTGGCAGCATCCCCGTACTTCTGGTAGGCCTCGGCCTTGAGCTTCATTCGCTCCGCCTCCGCCTTGCCCATTGCCTCAATGACAGCCGCGTCTGCCTCCCCGATTTTGCGGATCTTCTCAGCCTCTGCCTGAGCCAACAGGACCTGCTTCACCCTAGGGGAGCCCAGGGGGCGGGGCGGGTCAATGGGAGGTGTAGGCAGTGGAGGACTTTTGAAGGGAACCTTTTGACTTTGGCCAAAGAGTGGCCACCAGGTACCAGCTTTGAGTGGTTGGGAGGACTGCCCAGAGGGCTCTGCGGGAAAGCAGTTCCTGTAGCTGGTAGTCTCCCACACTGCTAGGGGAAGGTGAGGTGGTCTCCCACACTGCTAGGGGGAAGGTGACCTCTAAGACAAGGCTGAGTGCCCCGCGGAGGGAGCCGTCCATGGGTCCAAGCGGCACTCACTTCTCGCCCTCAGCGATCTGTTGGATGCGGTGGGCCTCGGCCTCAGCCGGGCGGCGCACGGTGGCGATGAGCTCCTTGTCGGTGCGCAGGATCTCCTGCGCCTCCACCGCGATCTGCTTCTTGCGCTGCACCACCTCGATCTCGATTTCCTCCTGCCGGATCTTCTGCTGCTCGCGCGCCCCTTGCAGTTCATATGCCAGCTGGGCCTCGGCCGTCTGCGGGAGGTGCGTGGCCGGCACGTCAGAGGCTGGACCGCAAGTCTCTGGGGTCCCTGAGCCCGGCCCAGCTTGCCCAAGCGGCCTCTCACCTTGATGTTGACCTCCTCACTGAAGGCGGACTTCTGCAGTTCGAAGGCACGCTTGGAGTTGGCAATCTTGGTGTCTGCCATGAACTTCACGTCTAGCATCTCCTTCTTGCACTCTGCTTCCTGGGAGGGGGAGGAGCGAGTGCTGAGGGCTCACCGAGGCCACAGTCCCGCTGGCCCGGAGCTCCCTTGTCCCTTGGGGTGTGAAGACAAGCGCAGGTACCCGGATGCCCGCGTCCCGCTCAGCCTCCGCCACGCCGATGTCGGCGTCTCTCTGCACGACGGCAGTCTGTGTCTTTCCCAGGGAGCTCAGATAGTCCACTTTGTCGTAGACGTCCTGGGGAGGGAGGGCGGGTCAGCTGTCCGCTGGGGGTGCAGCCAAGCGCACAGACGCCCCTCCCACCAAGCGCAGGCTCCCAGGTGAAGCTCCGCACCTTGATGGTGAAGCTGAGGATCTCAATGCCCATACGGCCCACGTCGGGGGCCGCCACCTCCCGCACCAGCTTGGCAAACTGGTCTCGGTCCTGGTAGATCTGCTCCACGGTCAGGGTTCCTGGGGGCACAGGGATTGTGAGCTGGCTCCCGAGGCCCACACGGGGTGGGGGGCGGGGGATGGGAGGCGTGCATGTCAGGCTGGTGAGCAGAGGGCGGCGCGCAGGCCTGGTCAGGCCTCGGGGGTCTTGTCTGCAGTGTTACACACTCAGGCTCCTCTGAGCCCAGGCTGGGGGCCAGGGCAGCCCAGGCCACGCCAGGTTCCTGTGCCGACTGCGACTGGCATGTCCACACCAAGACCCCACGGGGTGCCGGGGCTTGGTGGGCTCACCGAGGATGGAGCGCAGGTGCCCCTCCAGCGTCTGCAGGACGACGTTCTTGATGTCCTGCACGTTCTTGCCCAGGAACTGCTCGCAGGCCACGGCCAAGAGCTCCTTCTCCGTCATGATCTTCACCTGTCGGTGGGCAGACATACCTGAGCCAGGCTGGCGGCAGGAAGCCAGAGACACCCACCCACCCCCACTACCCAGAGGTGTATGAGTGGTACCTCCAACCCCATTTCAGACCTGGAGGTCTCAGGGCGTGGGGACTGGAGTCGGTCTGAGCCCCGGGTATGGGGTGTGGGGCGCGGAGGCAGCAGTTTAAGGAATTGTCCAGATATGGCGCCCCTGCACCTCCACTGTCCGCTCTAGGTCCAGGCGGGGCCTCTCTCTTGGCTCACCCCCCACCCGCAGCCCACTGTTTCCCCACCAGCCAACCCCTTCCCTGCAGACACCATAGGGGTACCCCCATGTGGGAGGGAGACCCTCAGGCTCAAGGGGCAGAGGCTGCAAAAAGGAGAGTAAACAATAGGGGCACAGATAGACAGACAGACAGACTGGGAAAGAATCTAAACCTGGCAGGAGATGGTAGGGGCGCCCCTGAGTGTGGGCGTTCTCCCACCTGTCTTTCCATTCTCAGGCTCTCAGCCGCAGCTCCTTATGGGGAAACCTCACCCTCCCTGGCCTGAGGACAGGGCAGTAGAGAGCAGGGCAGGAAGGCCCTACCCAC